CGCCCTCTGAGCCTCGTATCTGTTTACAGTTGTGTTAATGTAATCCAAGGCTTGACACAGTATTCTTCTTTAGGCTGAGTTATCGGGCACAGTGTGGTATTTTTCTGCCCAGCTAGTCTCATGATGTCATTTGAGTAGGAGCACTGGTAGCCGGGGCCTATTTCACGGCTAGATCGAGCCTCTAATTGAGTGCAGCGTTCCAGCGAGGCACTAATCAGGGCAGGGCGGGCCCAGCAGCCTGATGGCTGACACTAATTGTTCCTGCGCCGACTTAAAGGCCATGTTTGTGAAATATTTAGCTACCCGTCTGTTGACAGTTAACTCCGTCCTCTGCCTCTGAACTCTTAACCCCTTTACTTATTATTTTGCTAGTTCCTGTCCAGTTGTGAAGTGCAGCGAGTTTGAGCACAAATGTCAACAACAGCAGTGCACAACGTGGCCCTTAGAGCTTAAAACCAGCAATCGCCTCACATCTGTTACAGTGCGCTCCAAGATCTCCGTTTTGGACGAACCCCAAAAGATTTCGCCATGCTCCTCCTCGCGCGATTGTCTGCTTCCGTCTGGGATGAGCCAGAGCTGTGGTGTGTAGAAAGCCGTCCCTCGGTCCCCAGCTGCTTCTCTGTCAGCGCCGTGCTGAGTGAGCGGCGGGCCGTCTGTGTTTACCTTATTAATTAGCCCAGTGATCCAGAAACACTCTCCCTCTGGTAAATAGAATAACAGTGAAAGGTTACACGGGCGGAGGAGAGGGAAAAGGAAAATAAGAGAGCAGGCAGCAAGCAAAGGAAGAAAGGGAAGGCGGCATGGTCAGGAGGGACCAGAGAGTCGTGGAGGAAGCCTGATGTGGCAGGTCAAGGATTTAGGTGGTTTTTGTTCATTTTACAGATTGCAGTTCTTGAGATCATGTTGACCCCAGCTTGCCAGTTTCAGTTTTATAACAATGGCATAAATTATTGCTGTGAACTGCATAGATCAAGAATCCATCATCTCTTGTCTTCTTTAAAAGCATCCAAGTATGCTGTGCAGCTTTCCAATTGGCTGAAATGAATTCAGATTGGAGCGTTGCAGGCCAAAATTCAAAATAGTCCATTAAGTAGACAAACAGACAGCCTGACAGCGCTTTTATGAATCTGCTCCAAGTGTTTCCGATAGCTCGACTCCTCCATCTTGGGCCATATCTGTGTCCTGGGGTCTCCAGTTCAAGTCCATACATGGAAAGCCAAGAGACGGCGCCCAGTGAAATGAATTACATTAGCAATACAGAGTTTTCCCTCGGCTGCGTGTTCAAAGAAGGGCTGGGGAAACGTGTCTTTCATTAGGTACTGCTGGTTTAAACCGGGTTAGAGGTCACTTTGAAAGCTGAAGGGGAAAAAGTCTCTAATATACGAGAGCGAAGAGCAAAGGGAGGAAAACACATTTTAATTTGATCAATTAAAAGGAGCTAATTTAAAGCCATTGCTTCAAATGGCTTAATGCTATGAAAACACTCAGGTCCATCTGTGAGTGGACTTTTCCTGGTTAACACTATTGTGACACAGGCAGTAGATCCGGTGAGGCCTTGCTGGATTGGACCTCTTCCAACTCATCCGTGCTCGATCCGTTTGGGATTTGAGGAGTGTAGAGGCCGGCTCGATGCCGTGGGCTCTGTGTGGTGCTGTTTGCAGGGAGCCCGGAGCATTGGAGCACAACACTGCATTGTAACATTTCTTTCCCCAGACGAGCGTGAGTGATGGCCTGTTTGTGTCTGTGCATACCTGTGTTGGCAAACTGTGCTCTCAGCTTGTGCCATTTGACATTTGGCTGCCATATAAAAAGGCCCAGTGGGGCTTTAAAGGGGATTTACAACCTCCTTACAACCCTGTGGAGTAAAATTCCTCACCTGTCCCGCGAGTTCATTTGTGGTTCCCATTATGACTTATCTGACTTTGATGGGGGGACAGACACCCTGCTTGGATCATGGGGCCATGTCGCTAAAATCAGAGTGTTGTCAACTTGATTAGCTGCACAAGAAGGTTACCTCAGAACTCACTTCCTGTTTCTTTGTACCATTAGAGAAGTAAAGTAGGGCCACTTAACTTCCAGTAAAGATGTGAATCTATGATGCACTAAAAATGTATTTACAATCCTTTAAGCTTCAGGTTAAAGCCGTGCATTGATCTTTCCAGAGACTTTTCTGGCAGAATGGGTAATCCAGTCCCTCTGGCCTCCAATAAGGACTCTGCTCATTGATGTAGTCACGGTCCTGATCTCCTCTCGACTTGTCATCATTTTAACTTGTGCCTGAATGTGCCTTCATTTGGCATCAGTGTGCAATAAACAGCTCTTTTAAAACGACTGATTTTCATGTCTTTTAGGGGTGCAACGATACACAAAATTCACGGTTCGGTTCGATACTTTGGTGTCACGGTTCGATATTTTTTCGATACAAAAAAATGTTCATGCTTTTTTAATTTGTCATTTATTAAAATTCTAAATATATATTTTAACTCAAAAGTACAGTTTTTAAATTGAATGTTGCTGAAACAATAAAGTAATAAAAAAATAACCATCTGATGGAGAAATCTCTCATCTTTGGAAAAGAGTTTATTACAGAGAAATGGCTCTTTCAAAATAAAAGCTATACTATACGCTTCTTCTGGGCTATATTCTCAGCAGCATATTAAACATATCAGGTGCCCATAAGGAGAATCCTGTGCTAACGGCTGTCTAAATGACTCGGGTAAAGTTTGTAGCATGCGTGCTTGTTGTTTTGTCTGCTTCCACTTGTCTTTGCACTAGGATGGTGTCGGAGTAAATGTGCAGTCATATTCGTTGAGTTCCCACTAGTGCTGTCAGCGTTAATCTGAAATGACGTTAACGCCACAACACGGCAAATCTCCGTTAACGAGCTACTGCGGATCGCCCCGTACATGGGGCTGGACGGCCAACACGTTAACGAGCTAACTGCGCTAACACACTAGCTCCCACCATGTAATTGAGCATTGCGTGGCACATCCAACATACTGTTTTACTTTAGTCCATGACGCGCTTACCTTCAGGGTCATACGTCACATGAAAACCAAAATAGTTCCAAACGCCAGATCTGAATGAGGGTGGGGGAGGTTCAATTTGCCATGTTGCAATGAGCTTAACTTCTGTCTCGCTAGCTTGCGCTGGGCTCAGTGGATCTGCGCTCGACAGTGCAGCCTAGGCGGAGTAGTCGAGCGCAGATTCACTGAGCGCTCAACACAGACAGCATCGTCAGAAGGAAAGTTGATCAAATAAATTAAAAATTTTGTATTGTTCGATACATATGCGTACCGAACCGAAAGCACTGTATCGAACGGTTCAATATCGATACGAGTATCGTTGCACCCCTAGTGTCTTTGGGTAATATCGGTTTCTTCTTCTTATTGAATATCGACATCTGCAAGTGTCAGCCATGGTAAATATCAGCTGAAACCAGCTCTGATAACGTGACGTTTACCTGTATCAGTTTACTTGTTTATGTCATGTGATTCATTTATTTATTGAGTGTTCAGACTTTGTTCTGTTTGCCCGTTTTTATTCACTCAGCTGTGTATGTTCATCCCAAAAAAAAAACAAACCCAACCCTGCATCTTTTTTAACTGCGAAGCTTCAGTTTAGGTTTTTTGGGAAGCTAAAATCTCCAACTCTGGCTGTTCCGTGTGTTTTCTCCACACAGACATGTGTCTGTCTCCCGTGAACCCCTTTAGCCTTGATCATTAATCTCCTGTAGCCCCACTGTGATCAGGTGGTCGTATCTGATTCTGCCACTTCCTCTTCCCTTCCACCCAGCGCGTTTGTTGCTTCTCCGGCATACCGGACGCTCCCCCCACTGCTCCCAAAAGGAGCTGACGAGAATTCCAGATAGATCCCGAGCAGCTGAAGTATGTGTCTGTGGGCGTGTTTGGGTCAGCCACCAACAGGAAGCCTGATTTCACAATGTGATAACATGTCTTTGTGTGGAAGTGCAAGTTGTAATCCGAGACTTCCGGATTATCGGCGAGGGCCTGGTGTGTGTTGGAGTGCTGATTTATCGAGCACATGGCACACTAGGCTTCACTTGGCTTCAATGAAATTTAAAAAATGCTGTTTAGCAGTTATCAGGAACATTTGAGGCTTTATTTAGCTTCACGCTGACATCCGTTTGTGTCAGGATCAGCCAGAAATTCAGGATCATTTTGAGCCCAGCACAAGATAAAGATAAGATAAGATAAGATAGAACTTTATTAATCCTCGGTGGGTTCTCTGGGAAATTCGATTTCCAAAAAAGCACAGCACCGACAGAAGTTACAGAGTTATACACACACACATATATATAAATACAGAGACAATATAAAAAATATACGAAGGGATAATAGAATAATAGGAATAAAAAAAAAACAAGTGATTGCACATTCAAGTATTGAGTCTATTGCACCGTGACTATTACAAAAGTATTGCACAAAAGTATTGTACAGTGAGGTGAAGAGGCACTACAGCTTAGTTGTTCCTCCTTTGTCCTCTGTTTCCCTCCTCTCCCACCAGAGAGAGTTAAACAGTCTGATGGCGTGTGGACAAGAGTTTTAAGTCTGTTATTCTTGTCTTTGGGAAGCAACCTGTCACTGACACTGAACTGTCACTGAACAAGTTCTCAGGTCGGCGTCGGCCTGCAGTTTAGATGCTGGTACCTCGCTCGAGTCGTTAGATTTCGGCGTGTGGCTCGTGTATATTAGAAAGAAAATCCCTGTAAGCTTGTCTGTCAAATCAGAACAAAGTTTGAAAAAGGAGCAGAGAATTATGAGACGTTCAGCACAAAGTGGTTTTGACAGCCATGTCAGCTTTAATGTCTTCAGCGGTCCAATATCCACGCTGCGCGCTCCTGCTGGAAAAAGATAAGCAGCACATGATGGAGAAAAGATGTCCACTCTTTCTCAAGTCTCCTCCAATATGTTTTTGATTGGTTGTTGCTTTGACTTCAAAATATAAACCTGATTTATCTCCCTCTCTTTGGTTTTCAGCCCTTCGATGCCTTTTCGATTTCCCAGAAGGTAAGACCTGCCAGAAACGCTCAAACTTCTCCTCCTTTCTTTATTTCTGTCATCCATCCATCAGAGCTCTACTGGAGCCATCATTCCTCAGTAGTGAGTCACGACTTATTGATTCACTTATCCTGCAGTAACTAGCAACTTGGATGTCCTCATTTATCCATTAACCTACAGTAAAATCTAACTCTTAAAGACAAGACATGTTTTCGTTTTCTCCGTTTGTTCCCTCAGTGAGTGCTTTTTCTTGTTTCTCCTACTCTGTATGTAATCAGAGGCACATGCTGTTTGAAATCAACTGTCAAAGGACGTCTTGTCATCAACTTTTATGTGTCTTTTTCACAGCTATGCTGAGCTAATAGCTGATTGGCCAGTGGTGGTGCTGGGTGTGTGCACGGTGCTTATTGTGATCTGTGCCCTGGTGGGCATACTTGTGCCTGACCTGCCGGATTTCTCTGACCCACTGCTCGTGAGTACACTACTCATTGGTCGCCTTTGTAGATGACGGTAGCCGTCCTCTTTTCAGTGTGTAGTACTGTATTTTCCGCACTATAAGGCACACTTAAAATCCTTTAATTTTCTCAGCAATTGACAGTGCCCCTTATGTATGAATTCTGGTTGTGCTTATTGACCTCAAACCAATTTTATGTGGTGCACGGCGCTCAAAAATCTGTCATAAATGCTTCAGTATAACTTTGGTAAGCTACGAAGCCGCACCGCTTGATGGATTGTTGGAGCATTACGGATGCCGTAGTCAGGAGCCTTGCGGAGTAATCTGGGTCCTAAACTCCGTCCGCTTCAGGTCCCAAAGTCAAACGAACACTGCGGCATCACCGAGAGTTAAAAACTGTCTAAATTCTTTCATCTTTAATAAAATGATCAGCGTTGCTGCTTTACCAGGTGTAACAATTAAGTTTAACATCCAGGCATCCATGAAAACAGGATTTATTACATTTAACAGAGTTAGAAGTTAGCAGGAAGTTAGCTCGCTAGTTTCCACCTAAACACGATATAGCATGTTCTGACTGAGAGATTTCTGAAGCATTCAAACATACAGCTCTGCCACCACTTCCAACATAACTGAAGACAGGAAACTAAACAGCAGTGACGTTTGTAGGGTTACTGAAGTTGGACTAGCTGGTATATAATGATGTGCTACGTGACCTCTAGCAACACAGCTATGTTAGCATAAACACAGTGAAGCTGGAGGATGAACGCCAACTTTTTTTTCCACTCGATAAAAGTTAACGTGAGGGTTCCTGATGGTTAGAGACAAATGCAATCGCATGGCAGGATGCTGTAAACGGACCAAACTTCAGTCAGGAGAACAACTGAGATAATCCATCCACAATACGAGGTTAGTGATTCATATACTGCAACAACATGGGAATAGAGCAGCTGATAGAGAATTCAACATTAATGAATCAATGGTAGGGAAGTGGAGGAAGCAAGAAGAATGAGTTGAGGAAAGTTTGACTTATCTGACTGTTTTGTTTCGCTTAATGCGCCTTATAATCCTGTGCGCCTTATGGTCTGAAAAATGCGGTACTCATGTTGTACATAGAGACGCACTCATGCAGGCTGATCGGTTCTATGTTGTCCTGTTATGTTTGAGTTTAGTTTGCCAAAGCAAACTAAACTCAAACATAACAGGAGTACCAAGAAAGCAAACATGAATTTGACTGTTATTCATGTTATTTCTAATAATTTCTAAATTTCCATACATATTTTGATTAAATAGTTGAGGGTTTGATTTTGGGGGAATATCAGTGAATATATTTGATTTTTAAATCGCTAAAAATGTGTGTCGGGCTTAAACGTCCTGTATTGGCTGAGCGTGATGAGAACTGTGTGATAATAAAATGATCAGTTTGCATTAATACAATACATTTCTACAAGCATAATCATGTCAATTTCTGCTGTTTTATTTCTGGTATCTTTTTTCCTACAAGGGCTTCGAGCCACGGGGAACAGCCATTGGCCAGCGACTAGTCACATGGAACAATATGGTGAAGAACACGGGCTATAAAGCCACACTGGCCAATTATCCATTCAAATATGCAGATGAGCAGGCCAAAATGTGAGTTTACACTCATCTGAGATGCTTTCTGAAGCTCCGTGCAGGAACATGCGAGAGCCGGTTTAGCAGCTTTTTTTTTCCAAAGGCTGTAGAGTTTCTCTGTCTGCTCATCAAGCCGTCTGAAAGGCGATTGACATTAAACCTCTCATCGGTGGGTTCATCTGCAGATGTTTGCTTTAGCAGAAGAAAACAAAGATTTGTTGCACAAGTGTCGCTGCAGGAGGACAAATCTCACATTCACATGTTAAATATTTGTCGTAACCCTTAGTCCACGCTAAAATGTGCAGTCTGTCGATTGATTACATGGGCAGCAAACTCTGAAATACACACAACAGTTTTTTGTTCACTTGTCTGTGTAAAATCTCCTTCGAACACCTACAAGTTTAATGCACCTGCGAGTCTTCTCATTGAGTCTTTAGTACTCTCATTGTCACATCGTTGTGTCCCATCGACTTCAGTGTTCACTTTAAGATTATGGTTTTGACTTTTCGAGCCCTGCATGGACGAGCAGCAGCCTACCTCAGTAAACTTTGACAGCAGGTCCCTGCTGCATCATACGAGCTTTTCTGGCTTCCTCCTCAGACATTAGTTATAGTTTTCCAGTCAGACCTTTTACTTCTTTTTGCCTCAGCAGTGCAGGATTCTGTCCACGTCACCTCCAGGTAAACTGCAGCAGCACTGCCCTGCACATCTGAGTTTTCTGTGTCCACATTTTGCCATTGAGGGTCTCTTTGTCACGTTTGCCACGGCCACAATTAGCTGCAGGATTTCCTCCATAGCGTGTAGATCAAGGGATCAGACCTCTGGCTGCTGGAACATAGCAGAGCATTGCAGACCATATTCTGGTCTTTGTGGGAGACCAGAATATGGAAATGGAAAAGTCTATCCTGCTGCTTCTTCATCCATCTCCCCTCCACTCTCATCTTCAGATGGGTCAGAGTTGGAGACCGCTCTGTTTCTACCTCCTCGTTCCCCTAAAAGATCATTCCCAGAGCCTCCAGTGTGCTGTAAAGTGTTGCCCTCTTCAAAGTAACTGCTCCACCATAAACTACCTGAGCCACAACCAAAGAGCCCTATTTTGTTTTCAGTGTCTTTGAAGCACTGAAAAGCTATCAGTGTTTATTATCACGGCCTTAGTTTAAACACAGAGTGTGGCTTTCTAAGAGAGAAGACTTGAAAGTGAAACACACACACAAACGCACACACAGACACAGACACACACACGCGCTTTCTTTCTTTTAACATCATATACCACTGCAGGACAGCATGCTGAACGGGAACAAGAATTACGATGTAGAAAGATTTTTATACACAGCTCTATATTTATAGACAGGGTATCAAATCCCAGAAAAAACAAACACGCACACACACACACACACACCATTGTTCAATATCAATCCTCAATAGTGAGACCCACTTATTGTGTGAGTAACTAGGCAAACTTGCAGGAAAAGGTAAAAAGTGTAAAATGTTGCTTTCAGTGGTAAAAATTAGTGCCACCTGGTGGACACTATAAATATGAAACATTTAAAGCAAGTGGTCCAAAATAAAAATCTTTAAATCAAATAAATTTACATAATTTTCTTAGACATTATTAAACGTTTAATTACTTTTGAGCCTATAAAACTGAAGTGACAGTGTAGAGAACATTATTAAACTGTTACTGGTTGAACAAAGACATTATAGTGTCTTTGTTTGGCACTCATGTCGTTGGCTTCCGCTATCAGCCAAGAAGAGAGGTCACAGGGGAGCAAGAGTTAAAGGCATGGGGGTCAGAGGTAGGGGTGAAGGATACTGTTGACAGACCTGTCTGAATCTCCTCCTGAAAGAAGAGAGGGAATAGTCGAGGTTTGTCCATCCACGAGGTCAGCCTCTGCCTCCCGTCAGCCAGAGTCTGCTCACTAATCAAGAACAAGTCTTTGCATGTCTCTCTCTTTCAGGTCTTCGTGCACACATCAGACTGCAGATATCTGCTTTCTTAAATTTTACTGTTGCTCAGTTTTGCTTATTTGATGCATATCACCATATTCACAGGCATGTCACTTTAGCATGATTAAAAATCAGTAGACCGTCTTTGATTCAGATTTAATTTTAAATTTTTTATGAGCAGATGCTGTGTAGAAACATGTAGCTAAGATTAGAGCCTCTAAAACAGCTCTGTTCTGCTGATTAGATAAAGTCTGTTCTCTCCGTCTCCCTCTGTGGACGCCTTTGTCTGTCTTGCGCCGCGTGTCTGTCTTCATGTAATTGTGTGCTTATCAGAAAGTGGCTCCTGCTTCTGTCAGCGAGCTCCCCTGGCTCATCCCCTCCGTCTGTCACTCTCTCTCTCTGACAGCCGCCTGATTACCCTGCCTTCCTCTTTTCCTCCTAAAAATGTGGCTCATTTAAAAAACTGATCTGCACGTCTCCCCCCGGGTGCCCTGCTCAGTCAGAGTTACCATTATGATTATTAGAATAATGACAGCAGTACCTCGCTGTACTGCAGAAAGTCATTTATCTGATTTCTTGTAGGGAGCTGCGATGACTGCTGCCTTTTCTGACACAGCAGCATCTGTTTGATTCATGAAGTCATGAATAAGAATTCTTTCTGGATCGTTTTCAACTTGGTACTGACTGATTATTATATTTGCAGCACATTTGTGCTACAAATATTTTTAGAGCTTTTCCTCATTTTCTGTCAGTCATTGAACACATTTAAGTACCAAATGACACATTTTTGCTCTCATTGTTCAGAAGGAGCTATCTGCTCTGACAGAACTTAACAGAAATGGTATTTCCAATAGTTCAACTGTAATGTTAGCTAGCTATGTTATTATAGACTCACTGGTCATTTTGTTAGTTACATTTAGCTAGTATCAGGTTGGGGCCACGTTTAGCTTCAGAAATACTATATTTCTTCTGGCTGTTGCTCACTAAGTGGCCCAAAGTGTGCTGAGGAAACTTAACAATATAAAAATGCCATTTAAAAAAAACAAAACAATGTAAAACAATAATAGGAATGTTAGGAATTAACTCTATGAAATACAGTTAGTTTTACAACAACAGCAGCCTCAAACAAAATGTCAATGTGTGTTTCAGGATAACATAAGAAGGACAGGATACTTTAGATGTTGTTATTGTGATCTGAAACTGAAATTTCTTGAATGAATCATTTGTTTTGTTTGTTTGTTTTTGTTTTTTAGGCATTTTGCTAAATTTGAAGTGTTTCTTTCAAGAAACAAAATGAAATCATTTGCATATGGCCTTCTGCAAAATCTGGTTTCATCCCATGATCACCATCTTCTCCAAGTCTACAAGCCTTAATGCACTGAGCTGCAGCCATGTGATTGATTGCTTGTTAATACAAATTTCCAGTCACAAAGGTGTGTCAAATAAGGTGGCCACTGAGTGTATACTGTTACAGTGGTGGATGATCATACAACTCGGACTGGTCTAAACACAGTCAGATAGTTTGTTTTGGGGGGGGTCTGTTTTTTCCTACTCTTGATTCTTTCTGATGCCAAAGGTGATTTCATGCCCAACTCTGGCTGAAAGTGCAGAAACGCTGCCCTCCCGCTGTGCAAAGCTTCTGTTTGTGAAGCGTAGCCAATCACATATCTGGTTCGAAGGGGTGGGGAAGGAAACTTAACCAAGGGCTGATGATTTTATAATACTATGAGCTATGAATCACGCAAAGCTTTATAGATTACACAGAATGGTCTAGCACTTCCCAGTGAAATCAAGGTATTTTGTGTAAAATTCACATCCTGTTCAGCACCTTAGTTCAGTGCTTCAGATGTTTGCTTATTCTCCTTCTACTGTTTTCCAGTCACCAAGAGCCCAGGCGGCCCAAAGACCACTTTGACAGAGACAAACGGCAAGCTGAGTGGGACTTCAGTAAAGAGTTCTTCTGTGATGTGCCAGGTAAGATTCAGGACAATGGAGAACAGGAAGAATTATACTAGTCCACATTCCACACAGCTCCCAGACAGATTTATGGCTTTATATAAGGATGAGCAGGATAGTTGTGCTTTTTACTGTGGCTGATGGACGTGAACAGGATCTTTGCCAGATGGTCAAATAATTTTTTGTCTTGTATAAAATGGGGAAACTTGCTCTCCTACTTGGCTATGCCATCCTTTCTGCAGGTGACAGTTATTCTAGAGTGGTGTTCTCGTCAGCTGAAGGGAAGAACCTGTGGAGTATTCAGGCCATCAAATCCATGTGCAATCTGGACAACGCAAGAGTATGCTGGCATCATTCAAGTCGTGTGAATATGTTTTTCTGTTACACTTCTGCTTGTTTTCGCTTATTTATTCATTCTTTCCGTCCTTAGGTGCGTTCCCACCGGGACTACTGGAATCTTTGTCAGCGCACCAATGCTGACTCCTGCTGCCCCAGCTGGACGCTAGGTAACTACATCGCTGTCCTCAACAACAGGTCATCCTGCCAGAAGATTACAGAACGAGACGTATCGCACACACTCAAGATCCTGCGCTCGTGTGCCAAATACTATCATAACGGCACTCTGGGACCCGACTGCTGGGACATGACCCTGCGGCGGAAAGACCAGCTAAAGTGTGCCAGTGTGCCCCGCAAGTGTACAAAATACAACGCCATCTACCAGATCTTTCACTTTCTGGTAGACAAAGACTTCCTGAGTCCCAAGAGCCTGGAGTATCCTCCGCCTGTGCTCAAGTACAGCATGCTCTTTTCCCCCACGGAGAAAGGCGAGTCTATGATGAACATTTACCTGGACAATTTCGAGAACTGGAACGCCTCCGACGGCATCACCACGGTCACAGGGATCGAGTTTGGCATTAAACACGACCTCTTTCAGGACTACCTCCTCACAGACACGGTGTATCCTGCCATAGCCATAGTGATAGTCCTGCTGGTCATGTGTGTGTACACGCGGTCAGTTTTCATCACACTCATGACAATAATAGCCATCATCAGCTCGCTGATTGTGTCATACTTTCTCTACCGAATGGTTTTCGACTTTGAGTTCTTCCCCTTCATGAACCTCACAGCCCTCATCATCCTGGTAGGTATCGGTGCAGATGACGCCTTTGTGCTTTGTGACGTGTGGAACTACACTAAGTTCGATAAGCCTCACGCTGAGCTGGCAGAGACGGTCGGCGTGACCCTTCAACACGCGGCCCTCTCTATGTTTGTCACCAGCTTCACCACTGCTGCTGCTTTTTATGCCAACTATGTCAGCAACATCACTGCCATTCGCTGCTTTGGAGTCTACGCTGGCACTGCCATATTGGTCAACTATATTTTAATGGTGACATGGCTGCCCGCCGTGGTGGTGCTACATGAACGCTACCTGCCGAACATGTTCCTCTGCACTAAGCCTCAGCACCAGCAGACAGGTTGTTGCACGCAGATGTTCTGGGCCGGTCTTTGCCAAAAGGCCAACAAATGCCTCTTCACATTTTCGGAGGTGTCGAGGATATTCTTTGAGAAGGTGCTGCCCTGTATCGTCATCAAGCTCCGCTACCTCTGGCTCTTCTGGTTTCTTGCCATGACCGTGGGTGGGGCCTATGTGGTTTGTGTAAACCCAAAGATGAAGCTCCCCTCCTTGGAGCTGGCAGAGTTTCAGGTCTTCAGATCTTCTCACCCATTTGAGCGCTATGATGCAGAGTACAAAAAGCTTTTCATGTTTGAGAGAGTCCATCATGGCGAGGACCTCCACATGCCCATTACCATCATCTGGGGGGTGACCCCTGTGGATAATGGTGATCCCCTGAACCCCAAGAACAAAGGAAAGCTGATGCTGGATAGCAGTTTCAACATTGCCAGTCCAGCATCTCAGGTCTGGATCCTCAACTTCTGCCAGAAAATGAGAAACCAGAGCTTCGTCTTTCAGTCCGAAGAGCAGGACTTCACCAGCTGCTTCATCGAGACGTTCAAACAGGTCAGTACTGCATGTGTAATAGTGATATAGGGAGCAAACTCAAACTTCAAGAACCTTTTTATCAATAAAAAATAAAGTTATTAAACCACAATTGATCTCCAAAACTAAAACGATTACTCTAAGAGTTGAACACATTTCTGATGTTGGTGTTCTCCTGCCGTTTGTTAAATTCTCACTTGAACTGATTGACTTCATCAGATTAAACTTTCTTACAGTCGGCTAGCATTAGCTTATCTGCTATATAGAAAAATGACTTGTTATCTGGTCTTTAAGTGATGACGCGTGAACGCTGCTTCCAGGTCCAAACTACTCTGCGTTTATTAAGGCTGTTGTGTTTTTAACATGCTTTAATGCTTTGTATCCTGAACGAGCCCCTAAAAACAGTCAGTGATCACTGTTGGCCTCGCTCGGTTTTTATTACCACTGTTCATTTCAAAGCTCAGTTTTTAAACCTTACGGTGTAACTACAGCCAATGCAGCAGTATATGAATGACTAACCTCATATTGTGGATGGATTATCTCAGTTGTTCTCCTGACTGAAGTTTGGTCCGTTTACAGCATCCTGCCATGCGACTGTATTTGTCTCTAACCATCGGGAACCCTCATGTTAACTTTTATCAAGTGGAAAAAAGTTAGCGTTCATCCTCCAGCTTCACTGTGTTTATGCTATGCTAACAAAGCTGTATCGCTAGCGATCACTTTGAAAAGGAGCTTGGAAAGAAAAGCACCTGGACTTGTTTAAGTCCCAGATTTAAACCTAGTGGGAGTATCCCCCCAAAGAGGGACAAAAGGACAAAACGTAGAGGATCATCAGGGGGTCCCTTTGTCCCTCTTTGGGGAGATACTTCCACTGGGTTTAAATCTGGGACTCTCCACCATTTCACCCTTAGAACTGAAGAAGCTTCTCGGATGAGAAGCAAAACGTCTTCAAACAACTTAAACAAGTCCAGACGTTTTTCTTTCCAAGCTCCTTAGACTACGATGACCTGGATGACTGAGAACCTTCACAGAGAACTGTTAGCACTGTTTATGATGAGCACAGAGAAGAGTGCTGGTGAGGAGTGAGCATACAGGTCACATTCTTCAGTCCTTCTCTTAGAATTCGTTACACAGGCTATTTCAAGACATCCGTGTGGATGGAAGTTTTTCATTTTTCAGTTGCAGTCCTTTTAGACATTGGCCATAAATGAATTAAGCCATAAAGTTTCAGAAAGCAACCCGACCGATTCTGGTTTACCTCTTCTGTTTTTAACAGTGGATGGAGAACCAGGACTGCGACGAGGCCTCTGTCTACCCTTGCTGCAGTCAGTCCATCTTCCCATACAAACAGGATGTCTTTGAGTTGTGTATCAAAAGAGCCATCATGGAGCTGGATCGAAGTACTAACTACCACCTTGACAGCAAGACCCCTGGACCTCGATTTGACATCAACGACACCATCAGAGCCATTGTTTTAGAGTTCCAGAGCACCTTCCTCTTCACATTGGCCTATGAGAAGATGTACCAGTTCTACCGTGAGGTATGCACAGCCCAGCATCACCTGGACACATCTCCACTGGTGAAACAAGATATTTTATAATGTTAGCAATGTCTTTCTGTTTTAGGTGGATGCCTGGATCGAGGAGGAGCTTCGCTATGCCCCAGCAGGCCTCAGCTATGGCTGGTTTGTGAGCAACCTGGAGTTTTATGACCTCCAGGACAGCCTGTCAGATGGGACTCTGATTGCTATGGCGCTGTCAGTGGCTGTTGCTTTCAGCGTCATGCTCCTGACCACCTGGAATTTCATCATCAGCCTGTATGCCATCCTGTCCATTGCAGGGACCATATTTGTCACAGTGGGCTCTCTGGTGCTTCTGGGCTGGGAGCTCAATGTCTTGGAGTCTGTGACCATTTCAGTGGCGGTCGGACTGTCCGTGGACTTTGCTGTCCACTACGGCGTGGCCTACCGACTTGCCCCAGAGCCGGACCGTGAGGGAAAGGTGATATTTTCCCTCAGTCGGATGGGTTCTGCTATTGCAATGGCAGCACTAACCACCTTTGTTGCCGGCGCAATGATGATGCCGTCAACTGTCCTGGCCTACACGCAGCTGGGCATGTTCATGATGCTGATCATGTGCATCAGCTGGGCCTTTGCCACCTTCTTTTTTCAGTGCATGTGCCGCTGCCTGGGGCCCCAGGGCACCTGTGGCCAGATACCGCTGCCCAAAAAACTGCAGTGTCAGTCCTTCACCGAAACCACATCCAGCAGCCCCTCGCCCCAGGGGAAGAGTTCTGGTCTGGCGAAATACCAGCTGGACTGCAAGGGCGGTGAGGTGGAACATTATGAGCTGGAGCCTTTAGCATCCAGTCAAAAAACTGAGGATAAACTGCACGAAGGGCATGATTCCAGCACTCAGCTTTATAACAGAATTCCTCCTCACCACCACGCTGCTCCTTTTTCAAACATTCATTACTCGAACACAGAAGCCGGTGAAAGAGGATCTGAGAATGGGCACATAGCCACGCTGAGCACACCGTGCAGGTGCCAGTACTCGCAAAACACCAACTGCACATGTGGGGATCCTCATCTGCTTCAGCAGTGGAACCCACATTCCTGTGCGCCGGATTCTCGCTCCTGCCCTCCAACCTCTCAGCTCTTCCCCCTCTCAGGAAGCCCCCTCAGCAAACAAAACGCGACCCTTTTACCAACAAACCTGGACCCAGTCTACACACAGTTGGAGTGCTGTATGCACTACTTCCACTGTCCACTCACTCATTTCCACCACTGCTCACAGGGGAGATTGGTGACCCCCAGGCAAGGAGCTCCCCACACCTGTCACTTCAGGAAGCACTGTGTTCATACTGCGGCCCTGCAGGCGGCCTCAGTAGGAGACCAGAGATTCACAAGCCCAAAGCAGGATGCTGGCCCGGATCCAGGACCAGGACCTGGCTCTGATTCTGAGACTGCTGGAGAAGTCGTAGTTCATAGGCATGAAATGTCATTACCTGACAGTAGCCAAAATATCAGCACCACAGCACAGCCTCAAAGCCCCTCCCCCTCTGCAGGCTCCTTACACAAAAGCTGCCATGAATGTGCAACGGACACCAGCCGTTATCGTGGTGATAACCACACACCCACCACAAGAACTGAAACAGCAATGCACATGGATGTTTGTGAAGTCCCTGGCAACCAGGACAAACCTGACAGTATTCCCGTCACACGGGAAGAGATCGTTAAGACATGCAAGCGGAACTCAAAAAGAGAGCGGGCGGCCTCTGCCTCTCCAAAGAAACTCAACTGTTTTAACAGGACGTTGAAAGTGAAATGCAATTCAGCGTCAGACGTGCCAAAAAGCGAAGCCAGCGTGCCTCCTATTGCAATAAGCACCACTAATCCCTCTTCTGAAAGCTCATGCTGACAATAAGTGAAGTCAGTATCACAAACCAAAAGTCCAAGAAATGTTGTGCAATCGTACAAGGTGTGGGATGTGTTGACCAAGTGCCTCGGTGTGTTTCATGAAGCACGGACTCACTACATGTATTCAGTTTACAGTTTTCTTTTTGTACTCACCAGCGTTTCAGATGTGATTGTTGTTTTTTTAACAGTGAAACAAACACTACTGATGAAGCTGCGTCATCACTGTGGGACGCGAATGGTCGTTTTTTTTACTTTTCAAACCGGCGTCGCCAACAAATGTTTTTAAGTCGTGTGTTAAATACGTAGCAGCTAGTCGCACCGACATGAAATCGCGCCGCCTCTGTTGCTTTATGTCTATCACTTCTTTGTATGTGCTGGAGTCCGTGTTAACTTCCCAGTGTACTCTTGTTGCCACATGCCTCAGATAAAAGCTGTACTGTGTGATTAAAGTGTCGTTTTTAAGAAACAAAAACATTGTCCTGCTGTTGTGTGTATTTACAGACATTAACAGACACACACACACACACAGACAGAGACACACATTTACAGACATTAACAGACACACACACATTAACACACAGACACACATTAACAGACACACACACAGACAGACGCACACATTAAGACACAGACACACAGACAGAGACACACATTAACACACACAGACAGAGACACACATTTACAGACATTAACAGACACACACACATTAACACACAGACACACATTAACACACAGACAGACACAGACACACATTAACAGACACACACACAGACAGAGACACACATTAACACACACAGACAGAGACACACATTAACAGACACACACGGACACACACACAGAGACGCACACACAGACAGACACAGAGACACACATTAACACACACAGACAGACACATTAACAGACACACGGATGCACACACAGACAGAGACACACATTAACAGACACACAGACAGACGCACGCACACAGACACATTAACACACAGAGACAGACAGACACACAATCAGGAGTCGTGACGTGTGCACCTGTTTCATCGTCTCGACTGCTGGCGCCTTCGGTGCGCTCTGTTACACGGCTCGAGGTCACAGGATTTAAACTGCACATGTACACGTGATTTACACAAGAATAACCATCTGATTTTATTGCTTGTAGGTGTGTGCTTTCTCACACGGGTCCACTTACAGCTTTTCTAAGATTCAGAATAACATGCACTGGTAAAAAATATAGATTTATTTATTTTTATTTCATTTTTTTAAAGAAATCTTTCATCTTGGGAAAATTCATTACATGACATCATTGAACCCGATGAAGAAGAAGGCGGCGGTGGGCTACACCTCAGGGCTTGTAATTACAGGAGAGATCACTTTGGCACACAAACACCAAAAAGGAGCCCTGCTGCCATCAGCAGTGGTTTCACTCATCTAATATAGAACACGCATTAGCCAACCAGTAGCTTTTGTATTACCAAAGAATAAATGAATCGTGGCGAGTAAGCTGAAGGGGGAAGGATAGTTAAACACTTTGCAAATTCACTGATATGATACTTCGGCAATAGTAGAAAAAACTTCCATACATGACTTTTATATACAGTACTGTGCAAAAGTCTCAAGCCACCCCTCGTGTCTTTGTGTCTTGATAGGAAAATGACAAATGGGTGCAGCGATTTACTGAAACCAGCTATATGGTGCGAAAAGAGTTTGAACAATTCTACTGGGCTTGAAAGTCAATATTTGTTATGACCGCCGTTATTCTTCAAAAGAGCCTAAAAGGCTTTATTTTGAGTGTCAGACACGTGTTTCCGCCACCTTGTGATTAAAAAAGTGGCGCTTCTGTGGAATTATGATAAACTCATCATGTGGTGTTTCCACCACAGTCTTGGCTCATTGACAAAGCTTCATATCAAAACGCTGATGTCCAAATCCTCCTAATTCAAAAACACGTCCCTCCACCAGCCACACTCAGCAGCGTCATGGCGGGCAGGAAAAATACCGCCGTGCTTTCGCTTCTTTTTTCCTCTCATCCCTGAAACAAGCTCGCACATACAAACAAGCGCTCTAAAGTGCATTACACAAGTAAAACCACCCACAGCTTTTGTGTGATGGTTCTGTGTTGCTGGAAAGATCCTATTTTGGCACGTACAGCTCAGCTCGTGTTCCTTCAGGTGTCTGATCCCCACGGCTGTGGTTTCTCTCCTCCACAGCTCAGTCCCTGCAGTGAGCCCACATCCCTCTGAGGCTCGCTCCTCAGGCTTGTGTGAGCATCCCTGTAATTCTGTTTGTTTAAATGCAGGTCAAATATTAGCTAAGGCTGTGTAGAGGGGTTTATTACATCCCCCCTTCTAGGCAGAATCTTCTAAGTGTAATCTGCAGGCATAGCTGGCCGATGGTGATTTTTCATTTTTATGGGACGATGGGTTTGTTTTTTTTTAAATGATTAAAGTACATAAAACAATCTAATGAGCAGATACACATTAAAAATATCTCTCTATTTCTTAACAGGTATAAACAATGAAAGGTGGTGGATTGGCCAGATGCTGGCCAATGTGTAAAAATAACTCAGTTGTTTGTTGGTGGCTATGGTGGAGCCTCCAGCAGGTGGATGAGAGAAAGGGGAGGCAGTAGGAGAGCCCCGAGGCAGCCGCTGGTGCGAGTGTCAGGTGAACTGAACTTCAGGTAAGAAGTTATGACCTGCAGTCTGGATCAGATATAAACCAAGTTTAGGTGGAGTTTATTTTCGTTGTGCTGACGTTTTACAGTCAGTTACAATAACTCGTACTGGGTACTAGCTAGCATGACGGAGTTTCCATACATCTGGGTGAGTGGTATGATGTTACTGATAGTGAACTTTATTTTAATCATAAGGTTAGTTAGTAGCTGCCAACCATCCCGTAAAAAACTTAATCGTCTGGTATTCAGAGAAAATATTACGCGTTTCGTGTTGAGGTGAAAAGGAACAGTTTGTCCCGGACTTCAGCTACAATGAAAAAGACACAAAGCTGGAGTTATTCTGTCGTTACGCTGCACAGCTGCCTCTTCTTCTCTCATTCTCTCCCCTCTCTCTCCTGTTTCTACTTCAATCATGAAACTGATCAATGATCAGCTGATTGTCTCTCTTGTTTATCGCCCACTTTGTGCCAGAAAGAGGAAACCAGCGGATGTCGCGCTAAACAACAGCAGCACGTTTAAGCTTGATCAGCTGTTGTTAGAATTTATTTAATATTAGTTTCTAGTATCAGCTGATGTTTGCTGGAGCCACAGCTGTAAAGCTGCTGGTCATGATGTCGGTTTGGATATGTGGTGAGAGGGAAACATGAAGATGAAACCAGGAGATGTCCTTACTGAATCATCAGAGCTGTGATGGAGAAAAAGGTTTACCTTTTAGGTGACATGAATGAGTTGAAGTTATGAACTGTTTCTGAGAGACAAATAACACCAGGATCCTTTTCTATGTAGCTGACAGCTGGTAACTGTGCAGGGACAGGTCTAGCAAAGTTTTGCCAGGGGGGCAGGTAGGGCATTAACAGGGGGAGGGGGGCACAAAGAAATACTTTTCTTTCTTATTCTCATTTAAAATGTCTCACTTTTAAAAAATAATTATCTGATGGTGACGCCCATAGATATTATGGCCTGTTTTGTGTGGTGTAAATGGCACCTCATTTTGTCTATAGTGTGTCCTGGGATCTTGCTAGGCGCCGAGCGGGTCTCAGGTCTCTTATCCTCCTTGGAGGAAGCTATGTTGCTGATCTAATTCATTGTATATGTGATGTGAATATGTTTGAGGCCACTGTATCTGTTGTTGTGGGTGTATTTATACATTTTATTTTATTTTTTTGTGTACTCTTTAGGATTTTGTGTAATTCTTGGGGGGGTGAATGTAACAGGGTCATAAATCACATTGTTATAATTACACAAAATGTGTTCTAAACCCCCAAACTGTTCCTTTTATACCTGACTTTTAGGACCTCCAAGCCTGTAGTTATGTTCATTATCAGTTAGAGCCCCTCCTCATTCTTTTCTTCTTCTTCTTTGGTGCAACCCTATAAATACAAAGTACCCCTTTTGCCTCTCCCCTTTTCTACAATTCCCCTGTGGGAGAGACACAACGCAGAATCACACTGGTTACATAAGGACATCTCCTGGTTTCATCTTCATGTTTCACTCTCACCACATATCCAAACCGATATCATGACCAGCAGCTTTACAGCTGTGGCTCCAGCAAACATCAGCTGATACTAGAAATTAATATTAAATAAATGCTAACAACAGCTGATCAAGCTTAAACGTGCTGCTGTTGTTTAATGTGACCTCCGCTGGTTTCCTCTTTCTGGCGCAGAGAGAAAAGCCGATCAGCTGATCATTGATCAGTTTCATGATAGAATTAGCAACTTTCTAGCTGAAGTAGTACGGGACAAATCGCGTTCCTTTTCACCTTAACTTTAAAGTTTGACCTCCTCGGCTGTAATTGGTCCAGCCCAGAGTTGATCATGACCAACTGGCCAATCCACCACTGTTCATTTATACCGTTAAAAAAAGAAAAGGAAGAAAACCTCATTGGCCCATAAAAACGAAATATCACGAGCGGCCCACCGGGCAAGTGCCCGGTATGCCCGATGGCCAGTCCAGCCCTGAAATACAGTCATGACAGTAAACGAATATGAGTTCAAGGACTTAACAACATTACTTCAGTTACACCAACATCTCTGATACATTAGCACTAAGGGAACACTGAATGACCTGGTGCTTTATGTCCATCTAAGATTACCACAAAGTAAAAGATCTCTCAGCAACGTTATGCAACATTTTAGCCACACTATCGCCCCGATCAGATCAGTGAGCTGGGATTTTCTATTCTAAGCATGAGCTACTGTTACAGCAACAGACATTAATACTACTGGTGTCTCACACAACAACTCAATGTCCACTATGTGAAGCAGCCAAACACAGGCCTTCTCCTCTCGTTAACTGAGATAAACTGCTGGCATATTGGTTTTACATCTATACTGTCCAGTCTGTCCTGGTGGACATACAGCAGCATTGTTTAATCTCATTTGAGTCATTGTCTACCTTAGCCATGTTTTCTGAGAGCACTGAAGCTACTTTCAGCCTCAACTGAGGATACTGGGATGACTAAAAGCAGCCTGACAATTGTCATGATAATAAATACTAGTTAATCTATAGCACCAAATCATCAGTCAGTCACCTGTGAGCTCGCCTCTTCACCTCTGAGCTACAACATGGCAGAGCTGCCTCTGTCACCTGATGAATAACAGTGAGACACTCCACATACATGCAGTCACACATGTGCTTCAAATACAGTCACAAACCACCAGGTCATCATCCAGTTTCACCTGTGACCTTGAGTCACCATTGCTCTCTGAGCTTTGTGTTGGTTCTGCTGTCACCTGACAAACAGGACAAACATGACAATAAGAATAAAATGTGCAGCTGCTTCAGTGTTTCTGTCACTTTGTGCAGATCTTGACTCGTCAGTAATGTTTGTAGTGTGAGTGCATTTTTAAAACAATTTGTGCAAACTGCACTACAAGGTGGAATATTTGCAAAATCATGACGACCTCGTGATATTTTGTCTCAAAGATTAACCCTATGAATACGTCAGTGCCGTTAGGATGAAATTATTGTGTCACCAACATTTTAATGTTAGACATATAATTCTAACAGCCTCTGTAAATTAATATCATGGCTGCTCAAAGCTGCTGTTTTCTCTGACAGCTTCAATCAAAATTAGAAACGCTGCTCTGAGGCTGAGAGAACTAACAGTGCTGCCTGCTGTGCAGGTAGTTTCCCAAACACGTTATTCATAGTTACATACAGTTTTAGACTGATGTGGGCCAAAGCCTAGCATAGCCTGTAACGTTATTATGACGCATTATATGAGTGAACTTGGCTTGCAGGTTTCTTTGAAAAACACTTTCTTATATCCAGCTTCTTCCTCTTTGCTGCCGTCCTCCTCTCCTCCAGGTTTGGCTTCTTATTACTACATTACATAACTGCTCTTTTCTCACATGGGATCCATGAATTTCCTGTGAGAGTACACAGCATCTTCATTAGCTCAGGATGATATTTCACCTCTGACTGACATATTTCTGTCCAGACCTCTGCAATCAGTATCACTGCTGACATCTATGCGAGTCATCCTCACACAAAAGGAAAAACATCAGCACTTCTGAGGGAAGTATGCCCATCCCAGCATTCACAGAGTCAGTGGACTGAAGTGGCTGTAAATAGTACTGAACATCCCTGTAACGGTCACCTTGTAGAATCTTTTCAGACTTTTGCGATATGTCAAAGTCTCACACAATTATCAGCGAATAAAAATTAGTGAGTAAAGAGTTAATGCCTTTGTGGATTACCTAGCTTTCCACAGTGCCACCATGAGGCTGAAACAAAGTGACAGGCTTACAATCGACTAAAACTAAATGTGAAAAAGCATTTTAATTTGATTAATCAATAAAAAATAAAAACTAGACCTGTGGAAAAAAAAGAGCTGAAAATGGTAAAAATCTATCAGAACTTGCCTTGTGAGGCTACGATGGATGTATTTGAGACTGAATCACCGGCTTTTAAAGGGTTCTGTGTTTTATTACAAAAGCATGCACTGATTTTTCTCAATCTTGCCTTCTATATATGTCCTTCATACAATAATAATTAATAAAGACATTTCCAATAATCATTTCTTAACTGAAAATAACAAAGTCACTCTGGAGATTGAAACTAAACTGAATTTAAAGAAAAATAAAAACCAAACCAAACAAAAATGAAATCAAAATAATGAATAATTAAAAAATACAAAACTATAACAACTTTGGTGTCAACAAACACTGAAGTGCTTTGTGGCTGAGCGCTGTCCAGACTGACAGTGAGCCTTAATTAGTTACACCCTGCTAGTATCAGGTTGGACCCTTTCAGAATGATCTTAATCCTTCTTAGCACAGTTACAGTAACACCAAGAGTTCTGATGCGGCCCATCTGAGTCATTTAAATCACCTTTCATCCCCATGTGCTCAGTTTTGAACTTCAACTGGTTGCTTAGACCATGTCTAAACGATGTGATTTACTAATTAGATTTGTTTTTCATGAGTAGCTAAACAACTGCACCTAATAAAGTGTACCTAAAAATGATGTCAAGTCCATACCTGCTTCATACCCTGGGGGACGGAGCTATGGCTCCCCACACTCGCTAGCACATCGTTACATGGAGAAACCTTTTGAATAAAAGTGTGCCGATCCACACAGGTGTGCACACGGGTGCTCACTGACACAAACTTCACCTTTCTTGGCTGCTACCTCAAAGCACATTGTGCGCTGTCGATCTTGCGTGCTGCACAATAACATTTAATATTTAGTAAATACTGTTATTTACTGTTAGCTAGTTTATTGTGATGGTGTTGTATTTATTATGTTGCTCTTTTTTGTTTGTTTTAATTTCTGTTTTCTTTCTTCTCTCGACAGGTGATCCAGGTGTTTTGTTTTTCTCCCCCCCTTCTCACCATCTCTTTCCCTTCTGTTTTTCTTTCTCTCCCTCTCTTTCATTCATTCTTTCTGTCTCCCTGTCCTGTCCCACATCATGTCTGTCCCGTCTGTAACAACTGAAAATAAAATGAAATAAATACATAATTATAATAAAGGTCAATCAACTGGACTAATATGGCAAGGCCATGATGATCCACTTGTTAAAGTAATCTGCTAGGCATCGTTCTTAGCCTTCAGACAACAATTCTGATGGCTAAAGATCCAAACTCCCCATGGAAGAGAAATATCTCTTCCTTCTCTCTCTTTAAGTCCCAACTCAAAACTCACTTGTTCAAAATAGCTTATCCCACATAACCTCTCCACTCTGCTATTTTAAATTTGTTTCATGTCTTATGCTTTTATGATTGTGTAAAATGCTTCCTTTTATGTTGCTTTTATTATTCCACTGTGTACAGTGTCCTTGAGTGTTCTGAAAGGCGCTTTCAAATAAACTGCATTATTATTATTATTAATAATAATATTATTAAACAGGACAGGCAAAAAAAAAAAGCCAAGTGAGCATTAGCGGGTGGCTACATATCTTATTATATGTTATGTTGTATTATATGTTGAACAGATGAAAAATCAGCTGTTCTCACTGAAGCTCAAGAGTCATTTTAACAACCAGTGGTGCCCAAAGGCTTTGTGCTGACATGCAGTGTGTCCATTTGCATGAACTTTGACTCCATGTCAAAATGTTCAAAATGATTTTTCTTAAACGAAATAAAATAAACAGTCTTTGGTTCCCTCGTCTTTCAAATTAACTTCTTTTGGGGGCACAAAACAGAAACATCATTGGTACCCCCCAAAAAACATTTACAAAGAATATCAGGAAATAAAAAGAGCTCCGTTATGAATAGATGTTAATGCTGCACTGTGTTCAGATTAATGGACTGTTCACAGTGAATAAGCAGCAGGAGCCAGCAGACTGGCCCTAATGTCCAGAACAGCTGGCTCATAAAAGCTGGGAGGATGCAGGCAGCCAGGGCGGAAGCTTTCCTCTGCTCAGTAGCTTCCTGTTTTCAGGCACATGGCCTAAATGAAAGGAAACTGGCTGACCTCTTAAGATCAGCTCCGAACTTGCGGTCCAACAAACCCCGAGTGCTTAGAGATGATCTGTAGTCACCGCTGAACCTAAACAGCCTTTCTACAGGACACATCCATTGAAAGATGGGTTGATGTGGTGACATCTCAACACCCACGGTGCTAATAACTGCTGGTCACTCAATGCAGGCATGAGAAAGGCAAAAGAAGAGATGGCTCGCCATCTAGTGGTTAAATAAGTAAGCATATTCTATAGGGCTTTGGAGTTGACGTCACACCGCAATGCATTGTGGGAGCGCGGCGCCATCTTGGACCACGAATCAAACCAAACAGGCTGGCTGTGTCCCAATTCAGGGTCTGCACGCTTGAAGTACGCACACTACGCGTCCTACGTACGGTGCGTACTATAAGTACGAGAAGTGCGGAAGTGAGAGGCTTGTGAAATGGGACGGTCTAGCCTGCGTCGCGCTGTTCAGGTTGCCTAGCAACCATGATACTAACCGCGAGAAACGTTTCATACAGCTTTGTGTGACAGAAATGAAGGAGAAAAAAATGTCTTGTTGGTCATTCATTTTTGTCATGACATCACTTTGATTAGTTGAGTATCTGAGGCTGAGACCACAGGACTGGAAATATATATATATATATCAGCTAGACAGCCAAAACTTTGTGTAACAATTGTATGTAAATATGTTTTTGAAAAATCAAAAAATATATTTTAGAAAATTAAAACCCGTTTTGTCCCTAATCTCAGGAATCACTGAAATACAAATTTATTTGTACAAGCTGTAAAAGTTTTTCCATTACTTTGAGTCTTTTAGGCCTTTTATTAGCAGGAAAAGTTGTAAAACGTAGAGAAAAAGTTAAAGGTCCAAAGTCTATGCCTTCCTTAATAAATTGCAAAGCAATCAAGTGGGTCAGCTTGGAGTCTTTGCCGGGCTGATTCCAGCCATGGGCTTTATGTTTGGTATAGATGCACCTGCTCTAAATCCAAGAACTGTACCATTGTTTAGGCATTCTTGGACTTCTCTTTGCATCACAAGGTCTGCTGAATCTGTTGCTGCGTTTTACAAAGCCACCAGTTTTCATTTTCACAGGACAGTAGGCTTCCTAAACAGCAGCAGAAACAAAGTTCACATGGAAGTTTCTTTTATGTTCTCGGCATTAATCCCGTCGTGGCTCTCCGGCTGAACTTCAGGCCCCCCGGGCTCAGGCTTGTCCTCTTTGAGCTTTTTCACCTTACTGTCTTTGAGTATATCTGAGATGAGACGTTCATAAAACCACTCCATATCCTGAGGGTCCTCTGGCCAAGTGAGGTACTCTTTCCTCTGGACAAAAGCTCTGACTGCATTGCACTTCATCAGCTGGTAGTGAGCCACCTTTGGATGCAATGTAGGAGTTTTAAGTCAAAAACTGAAACATGTTTGGGATGAATTCAGTAAGAATCAACATCACCAGTTTTCTGCAAAAAAAAAAGTGGTAAATGGCCTGTATTTGTATAGCGCTTTACTTGGTCCCTGAGGACTCCAAAGCGCTTTACACGTTCAGTCATCCACCCATTCACACACTGGTGATGCTACACTGTAGCCAAAGCCGCCATGGGGCGCACTGGCAGAGGCGAGGTTAATTGAAATCTGCATGCAGTCCGACACCTACCAGGTTTGTACAGGACTTTCAGTTATCTGCTAACCTGTTGCCACACACAGTTCTCAGACCTAAAGCATGACTTTGGTTACTATTTAAATCTGCTGTAATTTATATTTTACATTGAAAACTGGTCACATAACCTTTATATGTGAGCGTGGCAGCTCGCACTGATTTACACACTCAGTGATATAAATCATCATTTAGTTGCAAAAAATATATTGTATTTCAACACGTTGGAAATTAGAGCTACAGCTTAGTGAACACTGAATAGATTTTACAGGTGACCAAAACTAACTCAGCTATTACAATAACGCTTTTTTACACGATAAAAACATACAAACACTTAGTGGATAATATATTATTGCTGTTGTTATGTTAACAGCTCATACTCACCTTCCCTACCACCAACATAATTAAGACATTCGTCAGTTCCTCCAGCATCCGGCCTTGGGCTAAAGTAAACGCTTCCAAGCACCAGCCATCTGCAAAGAGAAACTACTGTGGTAATTTTGCTCATGTTTAAATGATCTAATGAACTTACATTTTTTTAAAATAAGGAAGTATTTAACCCACATGCAATTATTTTACTGTAATGAAGAAAGTGAAAATAAAAGCCTTATTAGCTATGGCACTACTAAGCATGCTAGCAGTTTAAATTAAATGCAACACGTCTGTTGTTTTATATACAGGAAGAAGAGACAGCAGTGCTGATTCCATTTCTATTTGTTTACAACATGAGTTACAATGACTAGGTGGTTAGCTTACCATCAGTACAACATCAGCCATGTATACATTACAATAGATGGTTAGCTTAGCATTAATAATCATTCTTTCTGCTGATCCTCTCAGGGCTCGCCGTAGCAGATTGCCTACCTCCATCTTTCCCGAGCATCCTTCATGTTAAACCAGTATGGCTGGGCATCGTCACTGATTTCTATAACTGATTCGATTCAATCCCAGATTCTGTTTCATTCATTATTTCACTCATTTTTTGACTCAGACAGTCAGAAATACTATAATTATGATCATTTATCAATACACTGGAAGCAAAACTGCAGAATAAGAGGGACTTCATGACGAAACCTGCAGCTTCAGAATCTGTGAGACACCGCCTTTTGGCGGCGTGTCCACATATGGGTGGGTGGATGGCGGGTGAACGGGGGAAATCTGCGCTTTGTGCTTTACACCTTTTCCCGTTTACCTGCTCTTTAATCATTTGCATTTTTAACTGTTTGGCAGATGTTTAAATTGTTTTGAGAAGCTTTAACTTGAGCTTCTGGCGTTTCTGGCAAAATGCATTTATATTTAAAAATTGATTCAGGATTTAATGAGTCGATATCGCTTTAGTCAAACGAAATTCGATTTGAATCGGGAAGTCCATTTAATTATTACACTTATGTTTTAGGTGACACATATTTTTATATAAGAGAAAGGTTAACCGAGCAAATACAGAAATGCAGTTTTTAAATAATTTCATTTGTTAAAGCTAAAATCTTTTAAAAACCTATCCAAACCTGCCTGGCTCTATGCAGAAAAAGTGTCTGCCCCTAAATCTAATAATTGGTTGTACCACCTTTGGCTGCAGTCAAGCATTTGTGATAATTAGCAATGAGACTATTTTTTACACGGCTGTGGGGGAATTTTGTCCCACTCTTTTTTTCTAGAACTGTTTTAATTCAGCTACATTGTTGGGGGGTAGGGGTAGGGAACTCCAGGCTTCCTGCAGGTTTTAGATGTGTCCTTGATCCAACACAGCTGATTTAAATGTTAAACTATCTCCTCAACATGTCTTGAAGTTCTCCAGAGGCCTGGTAATGAACTAATGATTTGATTCAGGTGTGGAGACCCAGGGTGAGCTCTAAATCCTGCAGGACACCGGCCCTCGAGGACCAACGTTCCCTACCCCGTTGCAGGGTTTTCCTGCTGTAACGGCCTATTTAAGGGCATAGCAAAGCATCTTAATCAGAGTCCAGTACCTTTAAGGAAATCCTTAGAGACAATGCACAAAGTCTTCCTGCTGCTCCAGATGGCATCTCTGATGTTTGAAAGGTGATCCTCACCTGGCAGGAAGTCTCGGGCCTCGAAACAACAGTGAAAAAGATTCTCTTCTGAAAACTGGTTATCCAGCTTCTTTAGTAAAGCAGCCTCCACCCACCGGTAGTCCCTGTTGCTAAAACAGATAAACGCATCATACCTCATCTCATCCACAAGAGGCATCAGTTTGGGGCCCTTGAGAACCCTGCTGATGATCTTTTTGTAGATGATGAATATTTGTCCTCGGAGACGAGCGTAAATGATTCCAGTAAGAAGGACAATAATGATGAGTGAGGCAGAGAAAAGGAAGACAGCAAACTTTAGACCTTGGACTGCCTGTTCGGGATCCGTCTCACATGGTTCGATGATTGTGGAGTAATTCAGCAGAGGAAGGCCCTGGAAAGCAGCTGGAAACTCGCATCTTAAGTCTTCAATTGGGCTCAAAAACGTGACATTAGTCGTGTTCAGCCACTCCAGGAAGTTCCCCAGATTGCAGTCACAGTGAAAGCGAGTTGCTGACAGACTGAGAATGCTGAGAGACTGAAATGTCATAGGGTCGGGGGAGGCTAGGAAGTTGTTTGAAATATGGAGCCATTTCAGGCTGATGGGAAAAACATCTGGCTGCAAAAAGGTCAAGGCATTGTACGAAAGGTCCATCTCTATGATTGAGCTGAGACCCCTGAAGATCCCATTTGGGAGGGTCGTGAGTGAATTAAGGCTTATATTTAAACCGATCAGATTTTCAAGATGGTCAAACAAGTCGAGGCACTGCCCCTGTGCCCAAATTATCTGCAGGGAACTATCATGAAGATCTAGCACTTTCAAACTGTTATTAAGAGGTTCAAACACATAGTTTCGTTTGCACCACTTGATGATGTTGTCACCATAGAATAAAACCCGAAGTCTCGGGAAATAAGTTAAAATGAAAAATACATCCTCCATATTTGTTAATCTATTTTCTGAAATATCGACATGGATACTGTTCATGGCCAAGTCATCAATTCCATTGCGAGATTTCAACTTATTATCTCTCAAAAACAGATATTCTAAATTTGGTAGTGATGTAGGAAAACCCAGTTCTCGCAGTGAGTTTGATGCCAGATCTAAATACTGTAAGTTAGGGAGACCGCTGAATGCTTTGTATCCCAAAACACCAATGTGGTTTTGGGACAAGTCCAATATCCTAAGTTCTCTCAGATTGGTGAATGTGTGAGAATGTATTTGTCCTAAAAGGTTGGATGACAAGTTGAGTATTAGTAAATGATCCTGAAGACCATCAAAAGCATTTCTGTTAATCTGATTGATTCTGTTTAGTGAAATATCGATCTTCTTTGCATCTCTTAGATGACTGAACACGGCACTCTGCAAAGCAAATATGCGGTTGTTAGAGACATCCAAACTTTTCACTGCACTGTTTTTCAGGCCTTCAAATGTGTTTTTATCTGGATCTGGGAAGTTCTCATGTGAAAACCCTTTGCCCAAGATTCCAGAGTATTTAAGATGAGAAATCGGAGTCCCTTCTAATGCTTTGAAAAACTGCCTTGTTTCGTTCACATTTAGTCCACTGGAGGTTAAATCGAGAACATCGAAGGCTAGCTCTTTGAAAGGGTTCCCACAGTTTCCCCATTCATCATTGTGGAATAACTTGTTGGAGTCCAAGTTCAGGAGCTCAAACCTTTTACCCCTGAAACTTACAAGATCTTCTTCACATATGTTTTCGATCTTATTTAGTTTGAGTTTCAGCTGCGTGAACTTTCTGAATCTTGAAAAGAATGGACCTGGCCGCAGTCTCGTTATGTTGTTGAACGAGAGATCAAGGACTTCCAAGGACAAAAGTGGTTCCAGATAGCTTTCTGATAGTATGGAGTCTGTCAGACTACAATAATACAAAGACAGGTTTTGTAAATTGAACAGTCCTGCAAATGCCCTCGGCTGCAGTTTGAGGCCCAGATTAGAGCCGAGCATCAATTCTGTTAACTTTCTCTGCCCGAGGAAAGCGTTGTTCCATATGACGAGTGTTTGAGCCTGACTTTCAAGATTTAATACTTGCAACTCCTTAAAGTCTCTGAGCGAGGTGCTGTTAATCTCACTGATGTGGTTACTCTGCAGATAGAGGTGGGTGATGTTGTGGGGCAGAGCAGGAACCCAGTAGTGGTTCTGAAAGCCACACCAGGCTCTTTGTCCCCTCAAACGGCATGTTTGGTAGGATACTGTTACCTGCAGATGGGAGGGTTACATAACAAAAATCAAGCGATGAAGTCAGCAAAATTACATGTGAAATTATTTAGTAAGAAAAAAAAAATCAAAGTCAAAGCTTCATTTTCATGATTAGTAGCCCCCCCAAAAGCCCCCCCAAATGTCTTTATGTATAACTTCCATGTAGGGCTGCCACAACCGATTATTTGGATTGTCGACTAGTCACCGATTATTTTTGCGATTAATCGACTAATCAGATCATCATCCATTGGACGTAAAACGTACAGCTTATTGCACCATCAGCATCTGCTCTTATATAACTATCATTAGCTTGCAGCTTCAAGTGTTTAAAGCTAAAAATAAAGATAAGATGATAGTTTATTAAATTTTAATGAAATCTACAGATTGTTTAGGTGAAGTTTAATAAACTCAGCCGTCTGCTCTTTGCTACCTAAAATATAACACACTGTAAAATGTAATTAGTTCACAGAACTCAAAATAAGTAAATTCGTTGCCTCAAAAAAATAGAGTAAAGTTTTACTTAAGATGACTAAGTTAAGGCAACTTATTCACTTAGAGTACAGAGTAAATATCTATGTAGTTTCCAGAACTCAAAAAAATATGCAAACTCGTTGCCTCAAAAAAACTAAGTAAAGCTTACTTAAGATGACTGTTAGGACAACTTATTCATCGCAAGTCTGCAGTATTAAGAATAACTTGATATTTCTGACTGTACAATACTAATTGTTTACCTACTGACAAACATTTCAAGTTCAACTAAATGAAAAAACTGTGTGGTAACCTGAATATGACTAAAAATAATTAGCAACACTTTTTGTAATGATGTTAAAATCAGCCCAACTTTTATTTTGAAACACCACAAAGTATAACAGCCAACATACTGGACACTGTTCTGCTGAACAACAAACAATTATATTGCCATCACTGTTATAATCTTACAATGAAACAAAGTCTCAGATGTAATTATTCTGAAAATAAGTTTAGGCCTACCAAAACTTTGTTTTGTACTTACTTATATAATCAAAATAAAATATTTGTTGTTCTGTCACAAGTGCCGTCTCTGATTTAAGTAACGCGTTACAGTAACTACGTTATTACTGTGGTAATGAGCACGGTAACTAGTTATTATGCCAAAACCAGGAACGCATTAGTCGTTACTGGGATTTAGATAGGGTCGTTACTCGTTACTTCGTGTGTGGTGGCTATCGCGGAGCTTCCACAGATTCAGTAACATTAGCAAGTGGTGGAGGCAGCAGGTGGAGGAAGGAAAGGGGACGCAGAAGGAAGAGAGACCCGAGGCGACCACCGGTCCAAGTGTGAACTGAACTCCAGGTAAGAAGTTATGACCTGCAGTCTCTCTGGGTCAGATATAAACCAGGTTTAGGTGGAGTTTATTTTCGTTATTCTGACTTTTTCCGTACACCGTGCTAGCTAGCATGACGGAGTTTCTATACAGCTGAGTGGGTGCTATGTTACTGATGTTGAACTTTATTTTGTTCATAAGTTATTAGAGTTGCCAACCGTCCCGTCTGGTATTCAGAGAAAATATTACGCGTTTCTTATTGAGGTGAAAAGGAACAGTTTGTCCCGTAATTCAGCTACAATGAAAAAGACACAAAGCTGCAGTTATTCTGTGTCTTTGCTGCACAGCTGCCTCTTCTTCTTTCATTCTCCCCCCCCTGCCTCCGCTGTTTCTACTTCAATCATGAAACTGATCAGTGATCAGCTGATCGTCTCTCTTGTTTGTTTATCGCCCACTTTGCGCCAGAAAGAGGAAACCAGCGGATGTCGCGCTAAACAACAGCAGCACGTTTAAGCTTGATCAGCTGTTGTTATAATTTATTTCATATTAATTTCTAGTATCAGCTGATGTTTGCTGGAGCCACAGCTGTAAAGCTGCTGGTCATGATATGGTTTGTATATCTGGTGAGAGGGAAACATGAAGATGAAACCAGGTGATGGAGAAACAGGTTTACCTTTTAGGTGACATGGATGAGTTGAAGTTATGAACTGTTTCTGAGAGACAAATGACACCAGGATCCTTTTCTAAGCAGCTGACAGCTGGTAACTGTGCAGGGGTGGATCTAGCAAAGTGTTGCCAGGGGGGCAGGTAGGGCATTAACAGGGAAAGGTGGGGCACAAAGAAATACTTTTCTTTCTTATTTTCATTTAAAATGTCTCACTTTTAATAAATAATTATCTGAATTTTACAACAAACGATTGATAGATTGATGCATATATACCATCAAAACAGTGTACATCACTGTCACAACAGCGTTTGTTTTCATTCAAAGGCTTTATGATTTTTCCTATAATGGCGGCCGGTCTGTAGTCAAAATGCCCGGGACGATTTTCTGTCCCAGTCCAGCCCTGTATGCAGCTCATCTGCAGTCTGCTGTTACCTACATCTTCCTATTCAGAAGGCAGAATTTCCGAGTTCTGAGTACAATCGAAAGCACCACGACTGCAGTTTTTGTGTTGGATGTAAAAGGCGCACATGATGCTGTGACGTAGGCTAGAATCATGGCGGCGGTCAACGACGGCCCAGGCGTGGGATTTCTCTCGTGGAAATATGCACATTATCTTTTCCTTTGGTAGGTGGCACAGTGCACTGTGGCAAGTAAGCAAGCTAGAAGACTGGCAAAGTTATGGAAGCAACACATTAACAAGAGAATTCTGAGTAAAACCAAAGTTACTTTCCCTAGTAACTAGTTACTTTGAAAGTAACGAGTAACTTGAAGTAACTGAGTTACTTTTGATAGAAGTAACTAGTAATGTAACTAAGTTACTAATTTAAAGTAACTTACCCAACACTGTTTATATGTACCGGTAACATAATGTTTCTTATGATTCAACTGTGGAATTTAACTTAATTCTTTAGAAGGAAAAGCTGTATTACTTTATTCTCAAGTATAAAGCCAACCTAGATGTTAACCATTTAACAGGCCACTAATCTGGATTATAGCTTTCACAACAAAACTTGTTTTTAAACACATTTTTAACAAAACAAATACTATTGTTATTATTATTATTTAAAATGTAATAAAACAGAAAAGTGGTTAAATATAAAAGCAAATCAAATCACTTTTTATTGTCACATCACATGTGCAGGTACATTGGTACAGCACATGTGAGTGAAATTCTTGTGTGCGAGCTTCACAAGCAACAGAGTTGTGCAAAATACAATAATGTAAACAAGCAAAATACAAGAATGGCTACATCTGAAACTAATAAATATATGTACAATATATAATAGTATATGCATTTCTGGATGTGTATACTAAATATTTTTCTACGTGTGTGTGTGTGTGTGTGTGTGTACACATGTTTTACAAATTAAATAGAGTAAACAATAAATAAAATATATAAAATATATAAAATAAAATATACAGAGTGAGACATGTGCAAAACAGTGGCATTACTGTACAGTATGGAGTGCATAATGTTAAAGTTCCAGTAGCAGTTTGCTTAGGTTGTTAAACAAAGGCTAGATTTGACATTAATAGATGCCACAGATGTTCAAAAGCTGCCACAAAGTATGAAAAAAAACCCAAATGGACGTCTCCGAAAACGTCTGAGCATTTTTGCAAATATGTGATGTCTTGATAAATCGAGCAGATACTTGAACTTTACACAGCTACATTCTCGCCTGAAAATATCTTAAAAGTCTATTTTGTGACCCAGAAAAAGTTGTTTTTTAGCCGTGCTCCTCCGCCATTGCAGCGCTTACAAGTACGCACAGACTCCGACAACTGTGGCCGACAAATGCAATCCTCCTTTTCCCCAGATTACCCTTTCTGGGTCATAAAATAACCTTTTAAGATATTTTCAGGCGAGAATGTAGCTGTGTAAAGCTCAAATATCTACTTAATTTATAAAAATATCACATATTTGCAAAAGTGCTTCCACGTTTTCGGAGAGCTCTGTTATCCACCAGCGCGATAGCTGACCGGGAGGTCAAGGCTCGATAGAGTCCACGAGCACAGCTAACTGCCGGCATATCGTTTTCAACCTTGCAGTCTTTTGCTACTCATGTTAAACATGATATATATATAATTAGTTAGTTAGTTAGTTAGTTAGTTAGTTAGTTATGGGTATGGATTGAAAATACCCCCCACACTAACAGCTGAATAAGAGTAAACATTTACTCACCAAGTCAGTGTATCAGGCAAAGATCCACAGCAATGACAACAATAATATCTTGAGCTGAAGCTTCTCCAGGTTTGCTCAACATATTCCATAACAAATGCACCATGAACATGCGGACTGATCCGTGCTAGGGAGGAGGACGGTAGTGATGTGGCATTTTCAAACCACATCGTTTCATCCTTCCGCACTGAGAAGCAAAACTTCCAGCTGACTTAGTTTTTCTAAGTTAAGACAACTCAAATAAATTGAGTTTATCAGCATTTTTATGAATGAATGCTATGAATAGATATGAGCACGTTAGCATATGCTGCTTCCGGTGCGGAAACTCCTGTGGGGAGCTTTGTTTCCGGTGTCCTATTCGCGCCTGGTTTACGGTCCAAGTTAGATTAGATTAGATTAGATTAGATAGAACTTTATTAATCCCTCGGGTGGGTTCCTCTGGGAAATTCGATTTCCAAAAAAGCACAGCACCGACAGAAGTTACAGAGTTATACACACACACACATATATATAAATACAGAGACAATATAAATAAAATATACGAAGGGGATAAATAGAATAAATAGGAATAAAATAAAAATACAAGTGAATTGCACATTTCAAGTATTGAGTCTATTGCACTGTTGACTATTTACAAAAGTATTGCACAAAAGGTATTGCACAGTGAGGTGAAGAGGCACTACAGCTTAGTTGTTCCCTCCTTTGTCCTCCTGTTTCCCCTCCCTCTCCCCTCCAGAGAGGAGTTAAACAGTCTGATGGCGTGTGGGACAAAGGAGTTTTTAAGTCTGTTAGTTCTTGTCTTTGGGAGAAGCAACCTGTCACTGAACAGACTCTTCTGGTTGTTAATGGCCGTGTGCAGAGGATGCCCAGCATTGTCCATAATGTCCATCAGTTTCTTTAATGTCCTTTTCTCTGCCACTGTCACCAGAGTGTCCAGCTTCATGCCGACCACAGAGCTAGCCCTCCTGATCAGTTTCTCCAGCCTGGATGAGTCCTTCTTTGCTGTGCTGCTCCCCCAAGTTAAGCAAATGATTGAATCAAGCGGCGATTTACATTTCTATAGATGTCTTGGGCATTTATCCAATATACAGTGGGGCAAAAAAGTATTTAGTCAGCCACCGATTGTGGAAGTTCCCCCACCTAAAATGATGACAGAGGTCAGTAATTTGCACCAGAGGTACACTTCAACTGTGAGAGACAGAATGTGAAAAAAAAAATCCATGAATCCACATGGTAGGATTTGTAAAGAATTTATTCGTAAATCAGGGTGGAAAATAAGTATTTGGTCAATAACAAAAATACAACTCAATACTTTGTAACATAACCTTTGTTGGCAATAATAGAGGTCAAACGTTTACTATAGGTCTTTACCAGGTTTGCACACACAGTAGCTGGTATTTTGGCCCATTCCCCCATGCAGATCTTCTCGAGAGCAGTGATGTTTTGGGGCTGTCGCCGAGCAACACGGACTTTCAACTCCCGCCACAGATTTTCTATGGGGTTGAGGTCTGGAGACTGGCTAGGCCACTCCAGGACTTTCAAATGCTTCTTACGGAGCCACTCCTTTGTTGCCCGGGCGGTGTGTTTTGGATCATTGTCATGTTGGAAGACCCAGCCTCGTTTCATCTTCAAAGTTCTCACTGATGGAAGGAGGTTTTGGCTCAAAATCTCACGATACATGGCCCCATTCATTCTGTCCTTAACACGGATCAGTCGTCCTGTCCCCTTGGCAGAAAAACAGCCCCATAGCATGATGTTTCCACCCCCATGCTTCACAGTAGGTATGGTGTTCTTGGGATGCAACTCAGTATTCTTCTTCCTCCAAACACGACGAGTTGAGTTTATACCAAAAAGTTCTACTTTGGTTTCATCTGACCACATGACATTCTCCCAATCCTCTGCTGTATCATCCATGTGCTCTCTGGCAAACTTCAGACGGGCCTGGACATGCACTGGCTTCAGCAGCGGAACACGTCTGGCACTGCGGGATTTGATTCCCTGCCGTTGTAGTGTGTTACTGATGGTGACCTTTGTTACTTTGGTCCCAGCTCTCTGCAGGTCATTCACCAGGTCCCCCCGTGTGGTTCTGGGATCTTTGCTCACCGTTCTCATGATCATTTTGACCCCACGGGATGAGATCTTGCGTGGAGCCCCAGATCGAGGGAGATTATCAGTGGTCTTGTATGTCTTCCATTTTCTGATGATTGCTCCCACAGTTGATTTTTTCACACCAAGCTGCTTGCCTATTGTAGATTCACTCTTCCCAGTCTGGTGCAGGTCTACAATACTTTTCCTGGTGTCCTTCGAAAGCTCTTTGGTCTTGGCCATGGCGGAGTTTGGAGTCTGACTGTTTGAGGCTGTGGACAGGTGTCTTTTATACAGATGATGAGTTCAAACAGGTGCCATTCATACAGGTCACGAGTGGGGGACAGAAAAGCTTCTTAAAGAAGACGTTACAGGTCTGTGAGAGCCAGAGATTTTCCTTGTTTGAGGTGACCAAATACTTATTTTCCACCCTGATTTACAAATAAATTCTTTACAAATCCTACCATGTGGATTCATGGATTTTTTTTTCACATTCTGTCTCTCACAGTTGAAGTGTACCTCTGGTGCAAATTACTGACCTCTGTCATCATTTTAAGTGGGGGAACTTGCACAATCGGTGGCTGACTAAATACTTTTTTGCCCCACTGTATCTGTAAATGATGTTCATCGACTTGTCGATATTTTTTCCACGCGCCTCAGAGCAAAAGAGAAAAGGGATTCAAATGTTATATTTCTCAGCTGTCCCTCGTTTATCGCGGGTGTTATGTTCTAAAAACAACCAGCGAGAGGTGAAATCAAGTAGCCAATTTTATTTTTTGACGATGCAAAACGTTTCGTGGACATACAGTACTGCAGTCACACTGCTAGCGATCGATGCAGCGATTCTGTACTGTACAGGAGAGACGTCACGGAGGAGATCGTCTGCAGCGATCAGGACGCAGGACACAATGTGATGTAAAAATAAGCATGCAAACTTGCACTAAACAATCTGCGAAACAGCGAGGTGAAAGGTGAACCGCGTTATAGCGAGGGACCGCTGTAATTTTGAAGGTAAGTCACAACATACCCTTCGTACATACTAATGTATAGAAACCGTTACCAGCAATCATTCATTTTTTGTGTGGCTTTTTTCACGGTTTGTTGACATGCTGTGTAGGTGTGTACTTGACTAGCTGATATCGACATAACGGGGAAACATCTGGTTTGACTATTCTTCACCTGTAGTTTGAATGCTGAACATTTGCCTGTTTAAATCATAAGACCAGTCACTATACAGAGATGTGCTTCTGAATGTGGACGATGTGTCTTCTGCTGCAGTGATGCAGTTCTGCTTGTGTTGAGTGATGTAAACAACTGATCGATCTAAACGCTTTAAACGTCAAAATTGATCATTAGATTTTTTATGACACAGCAGCGGCGAGCGTTCCCACCTTCTGCTCTTTGTAACTTAACGCGATCTTTCCGTTTTCGAGTTTTGGCACATGGAGTATATCTTCACAGTAGCGATTGACCACAAAGTAAAGCTACTGGAAATGTACAACCCCACATCCGGTCTCAAACCAGGAAGTTAGCATTTTCTCGTGCACAGGGTCTGTCACTACCCGATCCGTACCGGAAACCCGATCGGTACCCCGCATGTGCAAATCTTACGTCACTTCCTCTCTTTGCCAACATTGCGACATTCAATATATTTGAATGATACAGTTAGCGCCCAGTTAGCTCCTAGCATTTCTCAACAGCTCTGCCTCCTTTTCGACTGCCCGGGACATTTAAACAATGGATAATCCGTTTACAAAGAAATTCATGCTTTTCTCCTCAACAGAGAGCGTCCCCCGATTGAGCAACAGCGCCGTAAAATAAGAAAAATGGCGCCTAATTACAGAGTTAATAATACAGACTTTGTAATATCTCACGTGTAGATTCATCAGCCAGATTAAGTGTTTACTGACAATTGACAGTGATAGTGCACATCATCATCACTATTCCAACAGTCCTCTCCTCACAGACAAGCATAAACACACTCGACTATCACTAAATCAAATTTAACACACGTTTGTAATGACGATAATTCAGTTTATAATAGGGTTTATTCGCTCGGTCAGCAGGTGGCGGTATCCTCGTACACTGGGGAGTAAACTGCCATTAAACGAACAGAAGAAGAAGAAAACATCTACACATGCGCGGTACGGATCGGGTAGACCCGATTTGTACGGTCAGACTTTACACATGCGCAGTAAGGATCGGAGAGTCCTGATCCGTAACTATCTTTTTATTTTTCGTTTTTGTCTACATTGTACTGAAATCCTTCATTATTGCAAACATTTTAAGATATACTTGTTATTCTTAACATCTTAACAGATACTCTGACCCATAACTATCGTAAAACGCTACGACCGGAAGTAGAAACCTTTCGCGCATGCGGGGTACCGATCGGGTTTCCGGTACGGATCGGGTAGTGACAGGGTCTATTCTGGGACAGAGCTACTTCTTCTTCTTCGGGGTTTAACGGCAGCTGGCATCCTTGTACATGCAGTGCTGCCATCTTCCGTTTCAGTCCGTTATTACACTCTTAAATCCTGCTACTTATTCCTGCGTCTTTTGGGATCTTACAAAGCTTCAAACGACGCATCGACTATTAAATTAGTCGTCGACGATTTTGATAGTCAACTAATCGTGGCAGCCCTACTTCCATGGAAGCAGACTTACCTGGTCTTCAGCAACAGTTATCCAGGCCCTCTGAAAGTCTGATAGTGTTTCTCTGGCTACTGTTTCACTCATTTTCAGTATGATACTTACACCTTTACATGTTTGTTTTTGTCATTTGTAACGCCACTTAACACTGGCCTAAAGACAAAAAGGTGCCTAACCCAAGGGCTGAACATGTGTCTTCTCTATTTAGCAAAGAACCCATTTGAAATTGTATTTTAGGCACTTTTATACCAGCAACCTGTAGCAAACACATCATTTGTTCCAATTTCTGAAGTTAAATGCACCAAAAATGCCAAAGTAACAGGTTTGACTAGCAAAAAAATATTATTTTCCCATCATGGTTGACAGTGTGTCCTGCACAAACTTGACAAATGAAGGGGAAAAGAAGAAATCCCACTTCAAAATTCCCACAATGACCTGACAGAACCTGAGACATGCATCTGAGCCTTCAGTTGACCCATCTACTGTTCACTGAAGCCTCATCAGAAATGGTCTCAGTGGAAAGGTCAGATTTTAGACCCACCATGAATTTGGATAGTGAACGGTGTCCATTTTCTGCATGACAGTTATCCCAAACACACTGCTAGTGCCAATGCAGAAAAGCATACATGGATAGAAAAACACAGCAGAACACCATCAGTCATGGTTGACCTCCCCAGAGCTCAGACCTCAACATTGTTGAAGCAATGTGGGATGATCTTGTCAGAGAAGAGAACAAAAGAAGAAACATCCAAAGAAAAGTTTTGAATGTCATTCAAGAAGCCTGGAGAACTGTTCCTGAAGACTGCTTAAAAAATCCAAAACGACTAACTTAATAGATGAATGGATTTGAGATTAGTCATTATATTCTGTGGTCCTGTTATGTTTGAAACCAATCAGCTGAATGAAGTCAGTATTATAAACGTACCTTTAGGCACAAACCAGTGCAAATCAACTGAAGGACCAACATCCACATTCTGTCCTCAATCTGTACAGACACAAACAGCAAAGCTTTGATTAGGTAATCGTGTTTCATTGTTGTAGCTGAACAAATATGTGAAATATTCAATAAAGTGAGAACATAAACACGCAGGTTGATGGTTCACTCGCACAAGTGTTTAACACAGCAATTCATATCTGATGTCAACTCGGACTACAAAGCTCCTTTGACTAGCTGGCGTGTTTGCCTGAGCTAATATGGACCGGACAGCAGAATGTGTCATATTGCAGTGATTGATCCTGGTGCTACACCTGCCACTCCCGATATAAGTTCATTATATTAACGTTTGTGCCTGTCAAATGTTTAAACCTTTAGTTTTAGTTTTTTTCTGTCTCAATTCAGTCCAAAAGTTGCCTTTATCTATCGCTGGGAGTAGATTTTTGTTCAAGTTAAGTACAACAGAGCCTGTGAAACCTGGCTGAAACATTTGAGCCCTAAAGAAAAAATGGGCCTGGTAGTTTCTGTACAGCCATTCCTGTAACTGTGAAAGTTCCCAGAAGCAAAGCACACAAAAGGTCCCAGTGCAGTGTCCCACCAGAAGAGGAACCGAAGAAGGTGCCAAAAGGCAGGGACAGCACAAAAACTGCTGTGCATCCAGTTTAGTTACCTACTAACTTAGTTGTGGTGAAACCCAGCTAACAGTTACTGGCTGCACCCAGTGCTAGCTAGACTCAGCAACGTGTTTATTCCTCAGCCCTGCATTAGAATCTGCAAACCCTTCAGACACACAGGGGTTTGCGACTTAACGAAAGCACTGTGGTATATTGTAATAAGCAGCAGCTATTACTACCTCCCACCAGTAGGTGGTACTGGGGTATTGTATGTGATTGAAAGCGAGCTGAGTAAAAGACCTGACCTCCACCATAGCCTCGTCTCAGTCCTCTGTGCTTGATCTAAAGTTGACTTTGACCGCAACCCACGTTAAACCAGCAGTTGGAACAACACTGCATAAAGTTACAACAAGCACAATAAATAATAAGAATCAACAACTCTTAATTTGTTCTGTCCATACGTTAGAAGTTCATTATACACTAAATCATTTTTGTGCATGAAAGATAACCTTGCAGTTGCGTTAAGGTGAAAACATGGTAGGAGTTTGAACATCAGCGTAATCCTGTGCACAAATACCAAGTTTGGAAATATTTAACCCCCTGGTGACGCCCCTGGGTTTAGCGAGGTGGCAAGCACGAACGAGATTTGACATTTTGTTTGTTGATAATAAAGCTGTAGTCTGTAAAATTTCAGTATCTTCATTTCAGCACAGCCTACTAAAGGTTTGAACCTTTTACGTTGCATTACTTGTTAGCCGTTTCCTGCCGTTTGCCTGCAGGTGAATCACTTCGGAGTTGTTGTCGGTTTGTTTACAGTCCGAGCTCTCATTACACTGACGGGCTTATTGAACAGTACGACTATTTTTTAACAACGTTGTCTGGTTGATTCCGAGTCGGAAACACAAACACACTTTTTAACCTTCTCCTTAGACGGTCGGGGAGGCGGGCGAGGCGGTACCGAGCTTTCTCCTCACAAATTAGCTGATAATAAAGTGAAAATCTTACCTGTACCGGACGAAGCGACAAACCCGTTCAAACCTGCACCACCTCGCTCTGTCTGGACTGAGAGTTGATCTTCTCCAGTCTGACAAAACGACAATTTCGCAATTTCCCAAGTGAACAAATCTCTCCTTCCTTTGTAAACTTTGCCTTCTTTTACGCAACACTGTTATGCTCTGTTCTGGTTATATTAGTATGTAACATGTATGTATTTAAATATAAAAGGCTACTGATCACACTTACTGTGAAAAATCTCAGTCAGTTTATGTTAAAATTTATGTCATTTTGAATGCAGAAAAGTACCACCAGAGGACCACCCGAGCCCCGTCAAAGCTACCAAGCAGAGTGTCTGCCATACTGTAATATTGGCTTTTCTTCTCCTTTATTTACATCCTTGTCTGCCCACTCATGATACAGCATGTATATGTAGTCAGTTATGGCCACAAACTCGCCTTTGATTACCAAATTGCATTTACTACATCAGTAAATCTGAGCAAACATTTGTCCTAGAGCAACACTGTAGGGTCTTTGTCTTACAGTATAAAGTGATGTGAGACAAGATTTCCTGACTGTAAAGCGGTGCGCAGACGACCAGAGCCCTCTCAGCACAAGGCTGACACGACTTTCCCCATATAGGAAATAAAACGTTAAAATAAAAACAGATTAAGACAGATTACTATACCAAACACATAAAAGTGCATTTACTGAATTGGTTTTGTCTGCTCTTGTTTTTTCAAAGACAATGAGGAGCAAAGTACAATCTGATCCTTGTGTTCATTTTCTATATACTGTTAATCCCCAGACTGTTGTCAGTCTGACAACACTCAAAATTCAAAATCATCCTCAGTGCACACCTTTTTCTCCTCTGTGCTCAAGGTGCTCTGTTGTTTAAGTAGAAGAGAAAAGTTGGACATATTTCACAACCATTAGATGTCCAAGAAACCTCTGAAAATGAGGTCACAGTTACTTCCCGAGCAAAAACTTCTGCTTTTGCTCACAGACCCTAAATTTCAACAAATAACACAATAATATGGCAAAACTGTAAAGTGACACAAGAAGCTAGGGGAAGAGCCACATGTTCCATCTGAGCTTTGAGGAAAATAAACTCAGCTTTTCCTTGGATGTTCGTAGTTTTTCCAGTTCATACAGAACTTCAGCAGTCGGGTTTGTCACTGTGTTGTTCCTCCATCTCATTGAGCCTGCTCAGGATTTATTCAGAGGAAATGAGGAACAAAAAGACATTTTAATAGGTCAGGGGTTTGTGTTGCTCTTGTTGACTTTTAAGTTAAAAAAAAAAATCAAATGAATAATATTTCTTTTAAAAATGAATGTAACAGCACTACACACCAGCACTGTGCTTATTTTATATGTTAATCATAATATATTTATAATGGAATAACATGAGCTCAACAGTGTCACAAAAGTACAAACATTCGGTACTTAAGTAGAAGTACAAATACTACTGTTAAAAGTTGAGGTACTGATTGAAATTCTTTACTCGGGTAAAAGTAAAAAAGTACAGGCTCTGAAATGTACTCAAGAAAGTATAAAGTAGCTCTTTGCATGATGTTTCTATTTCTCTGTGCTATATTAACATGATGGTAAAATAATATCAGGAGATTGGAATACAAACCTTAGTCTAACTTTTTTATTCTAATTATGCTCAGCTTGAATCAGAAGAAAAAGAAGGAAAATAAAAATTTAGCCCACATGGTAGAGGGTGGAAAATGTGTACAGTCAGAGGTTAAAGTGGATTCAGCAGATGTGGGAACATTAAAATTGGCTGTAATGGCTCAGTGTGGGGGAAAAGACTCATAACTCACAATAATTTCTATTGCTTATTGTCTATTGTGTACAGGCTGTGAGCAGCTGACCTGCTGCTCTTTTGGAGGTACACAACTTCAACCAGGTGTCTCAGGGACTCAGGGACCCTGACGATTCAGTCAGTCCTTAGAATCGTCATCTCTCCATCCTCCTATGCAGCCTCCCTGTGTGTGACTCGTCACTGGAAACACTATGCTGGGTCCTTCCTGAGGCTGTAAGTCACCATTGTCTCCACATGATGGCGCAGTCAAGCTGTGCGTGAAAACAAGGAAGGCCATTGCCCTTCTTTTCACCACTGCCAAGACAAACGTCTTAACCAATCATAAGATATTCCAGTAATTTTTGTCAGTTTATTTTTGTATTTTTGGTAAAACCCAACAGTAAATGTTTATGTTTTATATCATTTACTTATAAGGTGGCGAGTTTCAAACTTTTCTCCCTCCACATCACGTAGATGTTGTTCATATAAATAATCACACATCTCTGTATGATTAAAGGACCGTGTCAATCATTCATTATCTAAGAAATAAGCACACAGACACCACACATCAGCACTGAGTGTATTACGTGATGAAGAACTGCTTTGGGAGATTTTGCTAAACAAAATATTCACCACTTACTTTTCATCATGGTGGCATATTTACTATGGAACTCCAAAGTGTTCAAAATTAAATAAATAAATAGGTCAAGATGAAATAAATAACTATGTGAATAAATAAGACACAGATATGTAATGTCAGAATGATATTGTGAATTTACAAGTGTGTTATTCTGCCTAAATATTTATGCAGTTATTTATCTGACATTAACTCTTAATGTAGTCCCTAAAAACACTAAGCTTGACTTCACAAGTTAATCCTTCAGATGTTATAATACTGATACTGGAAACATGAGTATGTTGAGTGGTTGCTATAGATCTAGTGTTTTGTTGGGAAACTAACTGATTAATGCTTTTGTAAAGTTTATTAGGAAAATATGACAATGAGCGCTTTCATCAGTGAGTTCATTTAAATAGGCCAAACACTTATTTCAGGAAAGAATGGTGAAATTATTTTTATTTGTACACTTCCTTAAAAAAATTCATGTGGGGTTGCATTCAATTCTCAAGAACACAATTTATCACAGTTGCTCAAATTTCCACTGAAATGACCCTTCTCATCTCTCCCCTCCTTCTGTGGCACTCTTCTTTATCTGCCTCTTAGATTGTTCCCATTCAATATTGGTATCAAGTGTGAGCTCACTCTTGCTGGCTTATAGTGAAGGTATTTCCGGTCATTATATTTAGTAAATGACGTCTGTGCTGTAGATATGTTTAACTTCTGCTTCCTGATGCCAGCTTTGTGCAAAATCTGTTTACAGTAAGATCAAACAAGATCTGCAAACTATTTCCAACAAGGCAAAAGTGTTTAAGGTTTTGCCAACAAAGTGAGCGATTTAGTGGTGGGTTTAGGATGCTGTGCATTCAAAGGGTGACATGCTGTTTTCTATCGATTCAGAAAAAAGGTTAAAAGGGAAAAAGAAGCCCCAGACATTTACGTTTTCAAAAACATTTATTAATATTTTAGAATTTGAAGTCCTTTGTCATCACATGGCATCTGTACCTGAATGGTAAATAAAATGAAGGGCATGTCCTTCCACAAAAAAAACTGTTTGTAACATGTAATATTTCTGCAGTGCTGTGGACACTTTCCCTTTTCCTTCCACTGTTAATGCAATCTGCAAAGTTCCGGTAAACCTCTCACTGTACATTCACGTGTCATGCTTAAACCGTCTCTGCTTGGCTCAGCTTTCAGCTTTCACTTGATGGAAGCCGTGATCCTCGCCCTCCTCAGCTTTGAGCGCAATGCTGTTCGTCCTCTTCGCCCTGCGTCTGATGGCGCGATCCGCCAGAAAGACCACGAGAACGATAAAAACCGCAGTGAAAATTATTATTCCCACCAGACCCCCCGGTGGCACTCCCCCCGAGGGCTGCCTGGTTGGATCTGGATATGGTACCGATACGGTAGTGGGAGTGTCTGGTGCCGATGTCCCTTCAGAGCTGTCGTCATCGCTTTCTACGCACTTGTATCCGTCCACTAGCACATATCCCAGAGAGCAGAAGCACACGTAGCTCCCGAATGTGTTCTGACATTTCTGTTCGCAGTAAAGGTCACTGCATTCGTCCATGTCTATGCACACGGTACTGTCCACTCTCTCCTCGACTACGTAGCCGTCGGGACAGTAACACTGGAAATTATTGTTCGGGTCACACTCCGCGGGGCATTCCTCCTTCCCGCAGAACAGCTTGCACTTATTCGCTGACTTCGGGTCCACTCGGTATCCATCATAACACGAGCACTTGTAGCTACCGTGGGTGTTGTGACACTCATGCTCACACGGACCAGACACGCACTCGTTCACGTCGACGCACTGGCCGTTGCGCGTGGAGTATCCCGCCTTGCAGATGCATTCGAACCCGCCGGGTTTGTTGACACACACGGAGTTCTCCCCGGGACACTGCCGCGGGTCGTTGCAGTCATTGAAGTCCACGCACGACCTGCCGTCATCCGCCAGCTGAAAGCCACGATCACACATGCACGCGTAGGAGTCTCCGTTCATGTAGCAGATCTGCTCGCAGCTCAGCGCCAGACACGGGTCTCCCACGAGCTGCTGCTCGCAGGTCACTTTATTCGCAGGATTAAGGGTTTTTCCTGGTGGGCAGTAGCACGAAGGCATCTTGTTAGGACTCTCCGTGCATTTATATTCACACCCGCCTTCGTCCATCTCGCAGTTCCAGGGCGCCGGCTGCCACATCTCTGCGTAGCACAGATATTTGGTCTCAGATGGCATCCGGAGAGCGGTGCTTCCAGGAGGCGCAGACAGCAAGTCTCTGACCACAAACCCATACGGAGTGGTGTACATGACAGTCTCTCCCGGTGACTCTTCTTGACTTTGGCACATGCCAACGCTGGTGTACTCACAGAGAAACCCGGCGGCCTGATCCTGGCACGGTTTCTGGCTCCATCTGAAGTCCAATTCTGGGGAAACTGAGACGCAGCGCTGAGAAGAGCAGTTCATGTTAAAGTCTGGCAGCCAGTTTGAGAAGTCACTCTCGTCGTCTTTAGTTACCCACTCGTAGCCCCTCAGCCTGGCAACGGGGTCTGGGCAGCGGAGTGGTCGATGTAAACCGATCCAGAAGCTCCCCTTAAAGTTTCCCAGCAGAACAGAAAGAACATCGTGTTCTACAGATGAGCGCACGGTCATTAGTTGCCCCTCTTGATCTCTACATTCATTTTGCGCTCTGCTGAAATCGTTAGGGTCTCTGAACACAGCAAAACACTGGTTATTGATACAGTACCCCCCACTCGGGGCTATACTGCCGACTCTGTTCACCAGCGAGAGCAGCAGCAGGACCGCCAACTGCAGGACAGGATTCATGTTTGACCCTCGGCTGTCTTCCTTCAAGTTTATGTGCGTCCCGTCAGAGTATGGGCCTGTTTGTGTGAAGAACCCTTTAGCTGGCATTTATA